CATCAGTTTTCGATAGTTTTCTGGGATCCTTTTCCCAAGCAAAGCCACTTTCCAAGTGAAAGCGACCTCACCACCAACCAGACTTTGTTTTTTTTTGAAAATCGAGCTTCGAAACCGGACGAAAACCTGAGCTTCGCACCGTCTTGGCGATAGCTTCCTCAGGGACGAAACCGTGGGGGATTAAACCCGCGTGGGTCTGAAAACATGGGGTGTTCAGTCACCAAAAAATGGTGGATGTTGAACCAACCAAACATGGAAAATGATGATTTAACCATAGGAAAATGGCAATTTAACCAAGAAAAAATGGGATTTAATGGGATTTATAGTTGAATGATGTTAGCAAAGTTGGTCAAGAATAGCTAGTGCTTCACTGGGGGTCTATAGTCATTATAGCAATTTGTAGCTATAGTTCATGAATGTTCATAAGGTCTATAAAGCAACAACGATGGCTGGGCACTGCCTCGTGCCGAATCACGTTAAATCCCTGGAGGACCATCCCATTTAGTGCTTTTTATAAGCCTATAGTTACTACTGTCTATAATTGATGATTTTCCATGGTGAATATTGATGATTCAATGCTGATTGATGGTGACTAATGATGATTAGTTGTGATTGGTTAACAATAATGTTGGTACAACAAATAATAAACCAATCCCAATTTGACCATAAATAGCTGGTACATATAAACCATTCCCAGTCATGGCTGGTTTATGGCAGTGTGTTTCCCACATTTTTTCGTAGCGGTTATTGATGATTGTAAAATGGTGATTAATGACGATTAAATTGCGATTAAAACAGTTATTAGTAATGATTAATGGTCTATAGTTACTATTATCAACTATAATCAATCTGTAATTTATAAGTTTATAAGCCTATTCCCCTCCAGTAAATTAACATAGACCCTGCCAGATAGGGGTTGTAAGATTAGTTTCCATTAAAAATAGGTAATTTTCAGGGTCTATGTTTATTTACCAGAGGGTAATCCTACATATATATATATATATATATGTATAGATAGTTACTATTACCCTCTGGTAATTCAACATTTTAACATTTTGCTATTGAAAATTGCCTATTTATAATTGATTTTCCCACTAAATATGGTGGATCTTTCATGATCTTTCCATAGTTATGTAAACGTTTACCAGAGGGTATCCCATAGTTAAAAGTTCTATCATTGATGTTATCTTCACTATTGCATTACTAATATTACTATTACATTACTACTGCATCAGTTCAATCCTTGTTGTATCTAAGTAGTTTACAGTAGTGGTTTATATACATATCCAGTAGTTATTGATAATCCATTCACTATCCTTATACACACATATATATATATATCAATAACTACTGGATATCAGTACTAACTAACTATAGTATTATCAACTACATATATACTACTGTTGGTAACCTATATATATATATAGTAGTTACGCTTACCATCTACCATCCCCATTCACAACGGGCTCCCGATGGCTCGACTGGTGGCAGCCGCCAGATCGACGGATCAAATCGAGCGGCAGCCGCTGCGTGACTGGCGATCCAGGCACTTTCGGCCTCTCCGCAGCCCGCATCACTGGCACCTCAGGGCCGAGTGAATGGGAAAAACCGGTGGAAAAAACAGGAAATCCTATGGGAATATATGGGAACATATATATGGGAATCATATAGGAAGATCATCCCTAAAACAGAAAAACCTCCAGATTATGATTTGTGCGTTTTTTCCCCACCTGCCAGGTGAGGGTTGTTAGATTTTATCAGAGTTGTTGTCCTCCTCTTCCTCGCCATCCTCCTCCTCCTCGCCTCCTCCTCCAGTTTCTCCTCGACCATGTCTGCATCAACTTCCACCTCTACTTCCGCCTTGCCACCTCTTCGCCAAATTCCGAGCTCAGTGTGCACCGCTGGACCTCAACCTGGGACCTTCCCAGCTCAGTGTGCACCGCTGGACCTCAACCTGGGACCTTCCCAGCTCAGTGTGCACCGCTGGACCTCAACCGGGGACCTTCCCAGCTCAGTGTGCACCGCTGGACCTCAACCTGGGACCTGCCCAGCTCAGTGTGCACCGCTGGACCTCAACCTGGGACCTGCCCAGCTCAGTGTGCACCGCTGGACCTCAACGGCCAGGTAGAATGCCAGAAGATATGCCAGATAGAATGTCAGATAGAATGCCAGAAGATATGCCAGATAAAATGCCATGAGATATGCCAGAAAGAATGCCAGAAGATATGCCAGATAGAATGCCAGAAGATTTGCCAGATGATATGCCAGATAGAATGCCAGATAGAATGCCAGAAGATATGCCAGAAGATATGCCAGAAGATAGAATGCCAGAAGATATGTCAGATAGAACGCCAGATAGAATGTCAGATAGAATGCCAGAAGATATGCCAGATAAAATGCCAGAAGATATGCCAGGAAGAATGCCACAAAATATGCCAGATAGAATGCCAGAAGGTATGCCAGATAAAGTGCCAGAATGTTTGCCAGATAGAATGCCAGAAGATTTGCCAGATAGAATGCCAGATAGAATGTCAAATGATATGCCAGAAGATATGCCAGATAGAGTGCCAGAAGGTACGCCAGAACATATTGCAGAAGATATGCCAGGTAGAATGCCAGAAGATATGCCAGAAGATATGCCAGATAGAATGCCAGAAGATATGCTAGATAAAATGCCAGAAGATATGTCAGATAGAATGCCAGAAGATTTGCCAGTAACAAAACGTATAATTGTCATGGTGGGGATAACTCGAAGTAAAGTAATTTTCATCTTTTTTGGGGGATTGGCGACATCTTTGAACAAGCGCAACTTCACTCCGGTTTTCACTTTGTTCCTGTTGATTTATTCTAAAATATTCTAAACATTAGGGACCCCCCAAAAAAGCATGCTTTTATCATCCTTTCTCCTGATTCAAGCGGCCAATTTGATGCCCAGCCCTCCCCTGAGTCTGGCACCGCTTTTAGCAGCTGCAGCAATGGCATGGCTGGAAGCAGGATCCAAACTCATCAAGTCAGCCTGGGGCGAAGGTGAGTGAAGGGGCAAGGCCAGCCACTTCCAAAAGACTCCGGCAGTTATATCCATTGTTTATATCATGTTCGTACCATTTAAAAACGGCTGGGACCATGTTTATGAACAACACTTTAACAAGTGCGATTCACATCCAAGCAGGTTGGGCAGGGAGCTGTCTGCGCTTGTTTGCTGCGACCTTTTAACCGCAACGTCGCATGCTCCAATCATGTACAATAAATTAGGCTCTTATATGCCTTTTTTGTGGTCAGTTCAGCCCATTGAATTCCAAAATGTGGTAAAACCGACCATAAACCATAAGCCATCTGCAGCATACCACTTTTACACCTTTTACCAGTCTGGGTATAAAGTGCCTGCAACTATAAACCGCATGCCCAAATACTATCAACTTGGTCTACACTGGGTTCACCACACTAGAATCACCCTGGCCAATTCAGGATGGAACAGTCACTGGCAGGGCTACATCGGTCCCCGCAGACAAAGAAATCATCGTAGGACGCGAACAGCAGCACCCCACTCAGTAGCCACCGGCAGTTCACTTGTCTTCCATTTTTTCGAAGGAAGCACCAGTTGCTCCTTATTCCGAAAAACCAGCCAACTGATCCAACTGATGGTCGCATCAAAAGAGGGCCAATATTTCGCGGTGATTCATCCAACGCTCTGTGAAAGAAAGCATTTCGGGAAAAAAAACAAATGCAAGTAACTTTGGTAGATCAATCACCAGTATCTTTAGAAGATCAACCACCAGTAACTTTAGTATACAACGGTACAACATCAACAAGCAGTAACTTTCGTAGATCCAAGTCTGCCATGACTCACTCACGGAGGTCGTTTGTGAGCCATCAAAGCCTCCCATGATGTACCTTGGTCATCAAACATGGCTTGGAAATTCCCGGAACGAGCCACGGAGCCGGGAATCGTTCGCTGGTAAAATCATCAAACACGTGGGAAATTGTCCAGCAACCCGTGAAGGTAAATCATCATTAAAATAGTTTAGTAGCCATGTACCAAGCCACCAAACAAGTTGATAACATGTTGTGCTATGTTACTATATGTTCATTTCTTGGCGGATGTAGTCATGGCCAGTCATGGACATTGTTGTTGGGCATCATCCTTCTTCTGGGGAATGACTATTATGACTATATCATTATCCCCCAACAATGTCCTTGAGAAAAAATAGTGGCCATGGGGAGTTTAGCATACCATTCATCATGTTTGACCTATCGGTTCTGAAGCCGGGTTATCGCCTCTATTTTCTCTATTGATCAAGCAAACAACGGGAAAATTACATCTATGATATAGTCTTATAGTATCCCTTGTTTTTCATGGCTGCTAATCACTGCTTGGCCAGTTGCTGCCATGGTTGTCCCCATGTTACATGTTTGATGCTAATTCTGGTCAATGGCCATTTCAGGAACCTAAATTGGAGGTACCTACCATATATAAGGCCTATATAAGGCCTATGTAAGGGAATATCCCCACAAAATATGGCCTTATATGGTACAGTACCTCCATTTTAGGGTCCTGAAATTCCCATTGATCTGGTGGTTGGTTGAACCCTGTTGAAATTATCTGAACGTCTAGAAGGATAAGTGGTGACTATCCAGCTAAGCCCAAAACCCCAAAAATCTTCGTCTACAGCTAAACACCATCCAGATACGGTGGAGGCGGCATCAAATGGGAATGGTTCCGACTTGGGCCAATCCACAACCCACAACAAATTGTCAGATCTATAATAGAAAGTACGCTTAATACTGTCTGCATTCCATTTTTGGAAGCATATATTTTGCCCTCTTTGGGGGTTGGAGATGCGCATGTCGCAGGGCAATGCCGCCTCAATTCAAGACAACTCAGGCGATCATGTGAGCGTACCATTGGCAACAGTCTATCTGGGCTTCCAATGATGTTGTAGGATGTTGTAGGGATACACCGAGTATGACAGCATGTTATATTATATGCCACCGGAAAAAACAGATGAATACAGTATATCATATCAGCATAAAACATCATAAAAACAAGAAAAAGGAAAGCACCGAGACACAACGTGTCCTCTCTCGCCAGCGCTGCGATACGCTTGCGAGGTGTTGGTAGGGTGGCCACGCGCTCCCACCAGCCCTGGTTTGGCGCAGTTCGCTGGAGATGGAAGGACACCCAGTGACAAAACCAACAATTCATTGGGATGGTTTATACCTACCTGGTAAACTTGAGGAAGTTCTAGTGCTGCATTTGCAGATTGTCATGGTCATTTCGGATCATCGCTCGAAGAACGGGGAGAAAGATGTAGAAAACGATTCATGAAGAAAATGCATCCGTCCAAACCGGCTATAGCGGCTGCGACTCAGCGTGAAAGCCAACCGGGTTGTTGAGCTCCATCACTCCCCAGACTTTACTGGTGGTAAAAAAACAACCAACCAGCATAGAATTTCTCGATTCACTATCTGCTGCTGGCTTCTCAAGATTTTATTAATGCTCCAAAGACCCCACAAAGCGTTTTGGACTGCAACATCAACCAATCTTGGAAACTCAAGGCACGAAAAGGACATCAAGAAATTTGTGCATCCCTTAATCTTGATTTTCGCAGTGGCTCATATGGGTTTGTTGAACAAATCTGAATCCAAAGTCTGTTGATGGATGTTGATGGTCATTTCCCCTATTGGCTACTCAATTCCAAACATTGGGCTGTATTACCCCATTCTTGGACAACCCCAACAACAGTCTCATGAGCTCTAGCGTCGAAGCGGGGATCGTAGCGATCCACGCTGTCCAGTGGAACGCCTCCATTGTAGCCTCCAGGGGTCAGGGTGCGGCAGATTCTTTGGCAAGATGTTTGAAGAAATGTACAGAACAATTGGAATGTTTAGCATAGCAACCCCTGCAAAGATAGAAAAACCATTAAAAAAACCATTTGCTTATCTGAAGAACGAACTTGCAGGAGGATCTATGTGAGTAGAATTTGACTTCGTTCCCTTCGGCGGTTGCCAAAAACTAAAGCAAGGCTCGCCGGTCAACTGGGTGAAATTTGCCCTGAACTTCCCAGGGCTGAACCCCCAAATCCAACAGCAGCTGTTCTGAGTGCGCAGCTTAAGATGGGGGTCTCGGTCTCAGACTTTGAAATCACATTGTACTGGTAGCAACTAGGAACCCAAAATAAGACATATATAACAGTTATTTGTCACTATATACTTTATATTATATAAAAAGATTTGAGTATTCTATCTCTATCTTTTGCGGTTTGCACAATGACTTACGCCTTTTCATGCAGCCTCCCTATTGAACCACTTCGACAAAGTCGGATGCGCAACAACGTTGCCCGCCTCCACAAAGGTAGATGCTGCCCTGCAAGCCCACTGCCGCACAACTCCTTGCAGCATGGCTCAGGGCGTTGGTCGCTTGGGATCATAGCAGGTGGACATATTTGAAACCAGCCAGTTGGTGGTTTATATGGTGGCCCAAGCGAAACAAATGTGGATCGTTCATCTCAGGGTAGAATTGACTTTCTAAAAATACCTAGGGACCAATCCATCAGATGATGTCATGAGGATTCAACAATATATTCCCCATGGTTTGTTGCACCAACAGCAGATTGCTTTCTCCAACTGTCCCACTTTCTGGTGGGGCCCTTTCATCGGCTGGTGGTGAGCTCATGACAATACCCAAGAAGACGCTTCTGCTTCCAAATAATCCAAATAAAATGCGGGTAAGTGGTTTCAACTGAAAGCAAAACATCCTATCATACATTAGTTGCAAAGAACAATTGGAAACAAAAACAAAAAAACATCTTTAACAACAAATTTTAAAATACACCAACTCATGAATAAATAGCATCATGTCATGTATTACATATATAGATAATTTTCACAAGTTTCTTCCAACAATCCTAGTATCTCAACCAAGACGCCAGCGACCCGTCAAGGTTGGCCGGAGCTGCGTCCACTTGCTGCCATCGAAACGCTCAAAGAGACGCAGCGAGTCGCCGCCTGGGGCAAGCTGCGGCCGAGTCTGGGCTGAAAACGGTGAGTTGAAAGCAGCTGAAATGGTCTGGTTGGTGGTATGCCTACCCAGCTAAAAAACGTGAAAGTCAGTTGGGACATGTTGGGACTATGACATTCCCAATATATGGAAAGTCATAAAATTCCATGGTTCCAGTCACCACCAACCACTGGTGATTTGGCAAGGTGAAGTGGATTGGACTGCATAGAAACAGATTTTCACTGCTTGAGCCTGGGGCCAGTTAACACCAAACGGATTGGAGTTGGGTCTGTCGCTTCTATTCATTGTTGGTATTCAGGAAAAATCTAAGCTATTCATCACCTATTCCCACGCATGAATCCAAAATTATCCAAACATGATATTGGCGATAGGAGATCACCAAATTGATGACAACAACGACACCTGTAAGCGGTAAATGTGGGTTTGGCATGGTTTGGCCCGGCTTTGCAATGTCAGATCAGATTGGTACCACACATTCCGGTTCAACGGACTAATTACGGCTGGTGGTCGCATCCCTCATGAATAACATAAACAACAATCATTCTAATACAAAATAATACGCCTATTTCAGAGGTAAAAATGATGATTTTCCATCAGCAAACTGTTAGATTACCAGAGGATAAACCATGGTGAACTGTCAAAAATACAAAGAAAAATCAACGTAAAACTCGGTAAAAACACATTGTTTCATGGTGAAAAGGTCATTTTTCACGTTTCAACCACTCCCCCACGTTGTTAACACATTCGCCGTGGCACGTGCGAAGCCCCCGACCACATAGAGATGGCCCCCTGTGACGGCGGCGGCACAGCCGGAGCGTGCCAGGGACAAAGGCTCCACTTCTTCCCAGCCTTGGGACCCTTGGGACTTGGGGAACTGCAGTTTTCCAGGTAGAAGTGGTTTTATGGATGATATTTCCATATTAATTTTACTGGATGGTCTCACCAGCAATAAGTCGATAGTCAATTGTGGATAATATATGTTATCAATATATAATTATTACCCTGTGGTTATTTAACATAGCCATGGAAAATGGCCTATTTATAGATGGTTTACCTATTAGAAATGGTGATTTTCCATGGCTATGTTAAATAACCAGAGGGTATCACTTCATAACATCAATATTCCACAAGATAATTATGGATGATGAGGATTGGGACGGTAGTCAACAGTCATATTCCGTATCTTAACGTGGATATTATATAGGTTCACGTATCTGATGTTATTACCCTCTGGTAAACTAACATAACTATGGAAAGATCCGCCATTTTCAATGGGTAAATATCCACTATTTCTATGGTCATTTCCAATAGCTATGTTAAATTACCAGAGGGTATATGGTTTTATAGCCATAATTATGATATCTTTAGTAGGCAGAAGTGGTTCTATAGCCATAAATGTAGCATACATATTATAGTATTCGTAGTGGGTTAAAGCACCTTTCTTGATGGTTATATTATTAAAATTTCTATACTTGGAAGATCATCCCACTTATTCCCACTGTGCAAATGCTTAATAACTTGATAACCCTGGTTCGTAGTTCCCCTAAGTGGCTTATCCCCTGCACAAACAGACTACAACTATGGCTATTACGTTCCACTTCCAGTTCTGCGTGTAATCCAAGTGAAACTTGTTAATGGACGGGGTTATTAGTGGATCGGATGGATAAGTGCTTTCATAGCTTATACATATATATATATTCTAACAGTGGTTATATAAAGTTATATCCCAACTTGACTTATGAAGGTTTTCACAATAGAGGGTATATCTACCAGTTATATTTATGGTTATACATTTGATTATCATCCCATAAATGTGGTAATCACTGACTTAAAACTGGCAGATGGCAATAATTGTAATTAAGTGGTTATATCACCTCCAAGCTTATCCAAAACACCAAAACCCCACCCACTAAGAACTAGACTAAAAAATGCACTTATAGAATTCCACTTGGATATTTATACCAGTAAATACTGATAATTATAACGGTTGTGGGACCCAATTGAGATGAACAAAAACCATAGTACTTCCAATAGGATGGTGGGGTGGACCACTGGCCAGTGCCTGGCATGACATGGCCTCAGAGGGGTGGGGGCCCTGGAAAATGACAGGATTTGACATACCCTCTGGTAAACTAACATAACTATGGAAAATCACCATTTTCAATGGTAAAATCCACTATTTCTATGGCAATTTTCAATAGCTATGTTAAATTACCAGAGGGTAGCCACAAGGTGCCCCATAGTTGGTGAACATAGCTTGCTTAGGTTGATGGTAGATACGTCATATCATATCTATCGTTTTTTTAAGGGACCAATGGAGCAACTGGAAAACTCCTGGAGCACCACCTTGTATGGAAACCATGACACGTTTATAGAAGATTATCTACACACGGATTTAGCTGTGGAAAATGCTGCTTTCCATGGGTTTTCCATAAATTTCCAAAGGGTAGCCTGTGACGTGGCAAACCGTCCCGCCCGATAATGAACCAAAACAACCCAACGATGTGTGATGGTCAATACCCATTGGGGGTGGTTTACCCTCTGGTAATCAAACGTGGCAATACATAATCCACCAATATCCACCATTTATAGATTATGTTTCCGTCATGAGGTCATGTCCCATATTTTCTCATATGTTCACACTAAAAGCCTTCATTTATAGGGGATTTTCCAGCCACGTTTGACACCGGGTCTCTCCATACCCCATGTCCCATGAGTTTGCGTCCCCGCCTCTTCCATCACAGCGTTCGACCCTCGGCACGGGCAATGGATATTCCTGAGCTTATATATACCTATATACACACACCCACATACACCCATGTATATATTTATATATATATATACACAATATACTGTGTATATTATATATATATATATTTGTGAGTGCTCCGAGTGCTCACATGAAAATGAAAGCAATCCTATATATATATATGTATATATATATATTCACATTTATCCGCCGACCCCTGCCGACAGCAGGGGGAGCGCGTCAGAGAAGAGATTACAAGCAACAAGTGTTGTGCAGTGCAAGTGAGGGGCAAGCGAGGGGGGGACAGAAAGGGAAGCCAGGTGCAGAGTAAGAAGCCCAAAAAAGGAAGCGAGAAAGGAGGGGCAGCCTCAGCGAACGTAGCAAGCGAAAGAAGCACGAAACAAGAAGTTAGAAGCAAGAATGCAGAAGCAAGAGTAAACGAGCGACAGAAAGTAACGTTTGGCACTCTGGGCCGATCCGTCCTTCGCTGCCATGGTGTTTTGGTGCTGCGACAGGGTCCGCCAAAAGAACACAAGCAAGCTGGCAGGTGGCTGATGAAGGGCGGGCAAAGTCCAAGTTTGGAGCTAGTTTCTAGGGAGTTCCGAAAGCAACGTTTGGAACCATGGGCTGCCGACCGCGGGCCCGATCCGTCCTTCGCTGCCATGGTGTTTTGGTGCTGCGACACGGTCGTCCAAGAGAGCACGGGCAAGCTGGCAGGTGGCCGATGAAGGGCGGGCAAAGTCCAAGTTTGGAGCTAGTTTCTAGGGAGTTCAAGAAGCAATGTTTGGAACCATGGGCTGCCGGCGGCGGTCCCGATCCGTCTTCGCTGAAGCACGAAACAAGAAGTTAGAAGCAAGAATGCAGAAGCAAGAATAAAGGAGCGACAGAAAGTAACGTTTGGCACTCTGGGCTACGGGCCGCGGGCTCAATCCGTCTTTCACTGCCATGGCGTTTTAGCCCTGCGAGGGGCTCCCTTGACCGGAGCTTCAGGGCCATGCCGCACGACAGCCAGCTGCAAGACGACGCAAGCAAGTAGGCAGTTGGCAGTGCAGGAACGCAGGGAAAAGCAAGGTTTGAAGCTAGTTTCTAGGGAGTTCAGAAAGCAACGTTTGGAACCATGGGCTGCCGGCCGCGGGCCCGATCCGTCCTTCGCTGCCATGGTGTTTTGGTGCTGCGACACGGTCCTCCAAGAGAGCACGGGCAAGCTGGCAGGTGGCCGATGAAGGGCGGGCAAAGTCCAAGTTTGGAGCCATGGGCTGCCTGCCGCGGGCCCGATCCGTCGTCCTTCGCTGCCATAGTGTTTTGGTGCTGCGACACGGTCCTCCAAGAGGCGGGCAAAGTTTCGAAGAGAACACGGGCAAGCTGGCAGGTGGCCGATGAAGGGCGGGCAAAGTCCAAGTTTGGAGCTAGTTTCTAGGGAGTTGAGAAAGCAACGTTTGGCACCATGGGCCGCCGCCCGCGGGCCCGATCCGTCCTTCGCTGTCATGGTGTTTTGGTGCGGTCCTTCGAGAGGACACGGGCAAGCTGGCAGTTGGCCGAAGGGCGGGCAAAGTCCACGTTTGGCTGCGACAGGGTCCTCTCACCGCAGTCGGGCAGGACGAAAGTCAGCTGCAAGAGGACACTAGCAAGCTGGCAGGTGGCAGGGCAGAAGGGCGGGTAAAGTCCAAGTTTGTAGCTAGTTTCTAGGCAGTTCAGAAAGCAACGTTTGGCAGTAGGGGCTGCGGGTCGGAAGCTAGCCGTGTCATTTGTGCAGTGGTGCCGTCACGGTCCACTTGTCCCGGCGGCATGTGCGTCCGGCACTGTTTTTGTGCTTGATTTGGATTCGTCCGTCGGCCTTTTCTGAATAAACGCTTGCCCCGCAGGTTGGGCATGCGTGTTTGTGAATGCGGCCGGTGACACTGCCGCCAGCGACACGGAAAAATTTCCCGCACGCAAACGAATCGCTTGCAGCAGGGGGAGCGCGTCAGAGGAGGAATTACCAGCAGCAAGGGCCAAGAAGTCATTACAAGCAGCAAGAAGCAAGAAGCAAGAAACAAGAAACAAGAAGCAAGAAGCAAGAAACAAGAAGCCAGGAAGCAACAAGAAGAACAAGAAAACGAAGAAGACGAAGAAGAAGAAGAAGATCCGTCCTTCACTTCTAGTCGGTTCAGAAAGTGACGTTTGGCTCTCTGGGCTAGCTTGGAGCTAGAATTCTAGTCGGTTCAGAAAGTGACGTTAGGCACTGGCACCGGGGCCTCGGAAGCGCCGTTGGGACCGGCATGCCATGGTGTTTTCCTGTTTCGGAAGCGGCCGCCAAAGCTGGCAGCTGCAGGCTTCAAAGGCTAGTTTTCTAGTCGGTTCAGAAAGTGACGCGTTAGGCACTGGCACCGGGGCCTCGGAAGCGCCAGTTGGGACCGGCATGCCATGGTGTTTTCCTGTTTCGGAAGCGGCCGCCAAAGCTGGCAGCTGCAGGCTTCAAAGTCTAGTTTTCTAGTCGGTTCAGAAAGTGACGTTAGGCACTGGCACCGGGGCCTCGGAAGCGCCGTTGGGACCGGCATGCCATGGTGTTTTCCTGTTCCGGAAGCGGCCGCCAAAGCTGGCAGCTGCAGGCTTCAAAGGCTAGTTTTCTAGCGGGCTCAGAAAGCGACGTTAGGCACTGGCACCGGGGCCTCGGAAGGGGCCGTGGCCCGCAGGCCCGGTCCGTCCCTCAGCGCCTTGCTGTTTGGCTGTGGCGCAGGCGCCGTTTTGGGTCAGACAGCTATAGTTTTCTTGTAAGTTCAGAAAGTGACGTTAGGCACTGGGGGCCGTGGCCCGCAGGCCCGGTCCGTCCCTCAGGGCCCTGCTGTTTTGGTGTGGCGAAGGTGCCGTTTGTGAGGCTTGGCGGCTGGAAGACAGCTAGTTTTCTTGTAGGTTCAGAAAGCAACGTTAGGCACTGGGGGCCGTGGCAAGAAGTCATTACAAGCAGCAAGGGCAAGAAGCAAGAAACAAGAAACAAGAAGCAAGAAGCAAGAAACAAGAAGCCAGGAAGCAACAAGAAGAACAAGAAAACGAAGAAGACGAAGAAGAAGATCCGTCCTTCACTTCTAGTCGGTTCAGAAAGTGACGTTTGGCTCTCTGGGCTAGCTTGGAGCTAGTTTCTAGTCGGTTCAGAAAGTGACGTTAGGCACTGGCACCGGGGCCTCGGAAGCGCCGTTGGGACCGGCATGGCATGGTGTTTTCCTGTTTCGGAAGCGGCCGCCAAAGCTGGCAGCTGCAGGCTTCAAAGGCTAGTTTTCTAGTCGGTTCAGAAAGTGACGTTAGGCACTGGCACCGGGGCCTCGGAAGCGCCGTTGGGACCGGCATGCCATGGTGTTTTCCTGTTTCGGAAGCGGCCGCCAAAGCTGGCAGCTGCAGGCTTCAAAGGCTAGTTTTCTAGTCGGTTCAGAAAGAAACCACAAGAAGAACAAGAAAACGAAGAAGACGAAGAAAAAGAAGATCCGTCCTTCACTTCTAGTCGGTTCAGAAAGTGACGTTTGGCTCTCTGGGCTAGCTTGGAGCTAGTCTCTAGTCGGTTCAGAAAGTGACGTTAGGCACTGGCACCGGGGCCTCGGAAGCGCCGTTGGGACCGGCATGCCATGGTGTTTTCCTGTTTCGGAAGTGGCCGCCAAAGCTGGCAGCTGCAGGCTTCAAAGGCTAGTTTTCTAGTCGGTTCAGAAAGTGACGTTAGGCACTGGCACCGGGGCCTCGGAAGCGCAGTTGGGACCGGCATGCCATGGTGTTTTCCTGTTTCGGAAGCGGCCGCCAAAGCTGGCAGCTGCAGGCTTCAAAGGCTAGTTTTCTAGTCGGTTCAGAAAGAAGCCACAAGAAGAACAAGAAAACGAAGAAGACGAAGAAAAAGAAGATCCGTCCTTCACTTCTAGTCGGTTCAGAAAGTGACGTTTGGCTCTCTGGGCTAGCTTGGAGCTAGTTTCTAGTCGGTTCAGAAAGTGACGTTAGGCACTGGCACCGGGGCCTCGGAAGCGCCGTTGGGACCGGCATGCCATGGCGTTTTCCCGTTTCGGAAGCGGCCGCGAAAGCTGGCAGCTGCAAGCTTCAAAGGCTAGTTTTCGAGTCGGTTCAGAAAGTGACGTTAGGCACTGGCACCGGGGCCTCGGAAGCGCCGTTGGGACCGGCGTGCCATGGTGTTTTCCAGCGGCCGCCACAGCTGGCAGCTGCAGGCTTCAAAGGCTAGTTTTCTAGTAGGTTCAGAAAGTGACGTTAGGCACTGGCACCGGGGCCTCGGAAGCGCAGTTGGGACCGGCATGCCATGGTGTTTTCCTGTTTCGGAAGCGGCCGCCAAAGCTGGCAGCTGCAGGCTTCAAAGGCTAGTTTTCTAGTCGGTTCAGAAAGTGACGTTAGGCACTGGCACCGGGGCCTCGGAAGCGCCGTTGGGACCGGCATGCCATGGTGTTTTCCTGTTTCGGAAGCGGCCGCCAAAGCTGGCAGCTGCAGGCTTCAAAGGCTAGTTTTCTAGCGGGCTCAGAAAGCGACGTTAGGCACTGGCACCGGGGCCTCGGAAGGGGCCGTGGCCCGCAGGCCCGGTCCGTCCCTCAGCGCCTTGCTGTTTGGCTGTGGCGCAGGCGCCGTTTTGGGTCAGACAGCTATAGTTTTCTTGTAAGTTCAGAAAGTGACGTTAGGCACTGGGGGCCGTGGCCCGCAGGCCCGGTCCGTCCCTCAGGGCCCTGCTGTTTTGGTGTGGCGAAGGTGCCGTTTGTGAAGCTTGGCGGCTGGAAGACAGCTAGTTTTCTTGTAGGTTCAGAATGCAACGTTAGGCACTGGGGGCCGTGGCAAGAAGTCATTACAAGCAGCAAGGGCAAGAAGCAAGAAACAAGAAACAAGAAGCAAGAAGCAAGAAACAAGAAGCCAGGAAGCAACAAGAAGAACAAGAAAACGAAGAAGACGAAGAAGAAGAAGATCCGTCCTTCACTTCTAGTCGGTTCAGAAAGTGACGTTTGGCTCTCTGGGCTAGCTTGGAGCTAATTTCTAGTCGGTTCAGAAAGTGACGTT